TATATTTAATTGATTGAAATTCCACAAACAAATTACATACCAAGATAAACTGACTTTTTATTAATCTGTCATTCAAATGGAAAAGATTAGCTATTTAAAAAAAAAAATCGTATTCAAATATTTCTTTGTTTCAATTAAATTAAAATGTGTACAACATGTGCTTCAGAATATTTTTTATCTAGATAAAATATATGTTTTTTTTAAAACTAATATCGTTTCTGGAGTCCTGCTTTGGCTTCCATATTTAGCTTGATTGAGAGTCCCCTGGACCAATGTAAACATTGTACATAGCTGTGAATGTGTTTTATTTATTTTATTATCATTCGGCTTTAATCTGTTATTTTACTTATCTTGTATATTACTTTATCTTTTTATTAATATACATATATGTTTTTTTTTATCTTATTTTGGTTATTTATATTTATATTCCTTTCTTACGTACATATTGTGTGAATGAATATTATAGCCCTAGTACCAATGTCATTCAGTTTGGCAGACTGTATTAATACTCAATAATAAAAATATCGTTTCAAATCTTCAGCTTTTATCCCTTTTTATTTCTTTTTTCAAAACTTGTGATAAAGTGAATTTGAGAAAAATAAGTAGGGTAATTTTCAGTAAAATAGGTATATCAAATCATATACCGTTTGAAAAATAATACAATAGATGATTAAAATTTTGGTCTTTTTTGTCACAACTAGCAGAAGACACTTGATGAATATTTTAAATTTATTTCTAGGGCGTTTTTGAAAAAATGATAATTTTATTTTTTTAAATGGATTTTCGGACCCTTTTAGGCGTTCGAAATTGGAAGGCTGCTGTACAAGGCCGAGTCACTAAGCGAAGGCTCATTGAGGGATATGTGGCTAAGGCCACATCGTGCCATTGAAAGAATGAAGAATTTTTTAAACAGAAAATAAATTTTCAACAGTATGGTTTAAGCATTCTTATGCTATGCGGACTCTGGTATATAGGACATTTTTCGAGTCGCAAATTGATTCTGTTTTGTTAATATGAGATATCGTTGGTTTGTCTGTATATTGTAAATAATGATTTGAAGTAAATGAGAGGAAGGTGTCGGATAAATCCTAATATATAGTTTATTCAGGGTGAAATAAAATCGATTTATCGTACATATAAAATTTACTTTGGCCAGTTTTCATATTTCTATTTGCTGCAAAATTCCCCTTCACTCCTCAAATCCTCCCCGGTATCTCCCAATCTCCTCCTGAACAACTCACCTATCTTATTCCACACCACCGTTAAAAACCTAGGTGTTACTTTCGATCAATCCCTATCCTGGAAACCTCACATCTCCCAAATTTCCCGTCGTACTATCTCCACCCTAAAACAGTTCAATCGTCTACGATATCTCCTTCCATATAAGTCGCGTCAACTCCTAGTTTCCTCCCTTGTTTTCCCCCACTTCGACTATGGCTGTATGGTGTACGGTGGACTCTCGGGAGATTCCGAGGCCAAACTTAAACGCCTAATGAATTGTGCACTATGATTTGTTTTCGGAATCTCAAGGGATACGCATATTACCCAGTATTACACTGAGTTGAGGTGGCTCTACCCAGCCTATCGCCGTCAGTACTTCCTAGCCACCTTTCTGTATCAAATCATTAGAACCCATCGACCCTCCTATATTTTTCACAGCTTACAATTCAAATATTCCATCCAATCCCGTCACACCAGATCTCGTACTTCCGACCTCTATCCTCCTCCTCACCGAACTGCTGCGTTTGACAAATCCTTTGCAATACAAGCCGCCTCCCTCTGGAATTCCATACCAGCTGATATTCGACACGCTCAATCAGTTTCCTCGTTTAAACCACTCCTCTTTAAGCACCTACTCCTTTCTCAATCCGAATGATTGTGAAATATATCTAAGAGAAATATCTGAGCACCACCAGAGACTACCTCAATTTATTAAGGTTATTTTAGTTTCTCATATATATGTACAATTTAATTGTTCTTTTCTTTCTCTTTTCTGTATTTTTATCGTAAGTCAACTTTCATTGTAAATATACAATTTAATTGTAACCACACAGACGTACAATCTGTATTCATATTTTGTTCTTAAGGGACAACAGTCCCAGAATAATAAAACATTTTTTCATTTCATTTCATTTCATTTTATTTCATTTCAAAACGCCACGATCATTATCAAAAAACTAATCTGAGTGTTTTTTTATGTCTTGTTCGTTTTGGAATTGCTTTCGATTCACGGAGTTTGCGGAGACCAGAATAATTTCTTCATAAGTTCTAAGGGAGATATAAGTACTTTTTTTTCTAAGATATAAGTAAGATTTAATAACAGTATTATAATAGTATAGTATTTGACTAGGCTGTCCCTAGAGGAGTCCACAATATAATTTAAGTAATGAATTATGACTATTATTATGTCTTGATTTTGCAAACTCAGTCTTGATCATGCTCTTGATCTTGCGCAAGAGTCTTGCAGTTACTTATTAGCTTATTATTATAGAGATATCACTGTAATTTTTAAAGATAGGTGAAACCTAACTTAGCCCGATTGAAAAATTAGAGGAGTTAAATGCAGAAGTATATTGGTTATACCAATTATTTACGTATAGTAACTAAGATTGTCAAGTATTAACAACTATTTTGCCTTAATTTTTATTAAAAAAATTGATTTTTTTTTTACCAATCCTGGTCTTGGTCTTGCAACCGATTTTGGGCAACACTAACTATGACAATATAAAATAAAAATTATTATTACAAATCGTATAAAAAAATAAGATAATATTAGGATGAGATACTGCCTGAAGATGGGTTAAGACAGTGGATTCCGAAACGTCATAATAAAATAAAGAAAAATTGTTGGTGAGAAAAAATACTTTAATTAAATCTTACTTATAGACCAGAATAAGTGTTAGTCGCTTGGAGCTGGTTCTGGTGAATAGGGAGGGTGGAACAAAAGGGTCTTTGCTACCACAAATCAAATAATAAAAACGTATGATTTTAGTTTAAATTGTTTTTAACTGTTACCAATTGTGTTATGTGATGTGTACATTCTAGCGTGTATAGGTACTAAAAAAATAATGAATGTTTTGCAGTTAAAAGTATAACAGAATTTTTTAGTTTTTAAACTTTTATTGCTTATATTAACTACAAATAAATAAGTTCAGTGTTGTCAGTTTTATTTGTTATTGGTGAAAAAACATGTACTTTTTTATTTCTTATTTGAAAATTTGGTTATAACTACGTAACGATAGTTATTAACATGTATGCAAACAGTGACAAAGAATCATGTATTTTTATTGAAAATTAATTTTCAGTAGCGAAGTAAAAAAATACCCAAAAAGGTCCCATCTAAAGCTTAATAATATAGTGCGAGTGAACCATGGGGAATTAGGGTTGTCTTGGTTGAAACAACACCGTTCCGGTTCTTCAGTTGTGAGTGTTTTTTTTAATTGATTGATCCGATTTCGTTAATTGTGAGCTATATGGTTTTGAATCAATTGTTACTCCGGATGGCAGTAGATCATTTAAAATAACATCCATGGATAGCATATTCTTCTTTGGAAGTAATCCGGGTTTTGAAGTTTTTCAAAATTTGGTCCATTGACGTTTCTTTAGGGTATCAAAAGTGGTAAGTATGAGTACAGTCAATTTGTGCAAATTTTTTTTTATTTAATTTTTTTTTTTTTTTTGTTCTCTCCTTCCTCGTCTTTTAGGCTATATAGGCAAAAAGCTATATATAGGCTATATGGGGTGAGGGTGAGGGATTATTGCCAGTGATAAAAGCCCCCATTGGCACCGAGACGCGAACTCTTTTAAAACGTGTAATTATTTTATAATCCATAATTTTATCAGCTCATTAGATTGCCGGGCAACGCGCGGCATCGTGCACTATGGTTTATTATTTTATTATTTTGTAGTTATTAAAATTTTGGGATGATCCTCCCTGCTTTCTGTTATGCATCTCCGTTGGCATTCGTACTTTTTTTTTGTTTTGCGAACTGTTGGAACAGTGGGAGGAGAAATAGCTATAAATCCGTTTGGGACATTAAGCCGTCTTCTCTACAATATTCGGCACTTGGGTTTCCTTCCTGAGGGAGTCTTTGTGTCCTCACGTCTCTTGTTGGAAGTGCAGTTCTTTTAGAAACCTTGAATATTTTAAGATTGTTTAGCTCTAAAATTGTTACTTTATTTTATTCAATAACAAATTGAAGCTTATGAAGGGTAAAATACACTTTGATTGAATATAATTTTTCTAACCACATTTATTTTTAATAATAATACAATACAATTCACACAACACATCATATATTTACTTCACTTTAATCCATTCTTTACAGAAAATATCCAGGAATACAGTTTATCCATAATAGAAACGAAGAAAATCACAATGGCAAACTCATTTTTTTCATTAAAAAAAAAGGAACTTTTCACTCAGAGAATGAAACGTTATATATCATTACTATGATCCTTATCCAATACTTCACCCTTCTTTGATATTAAAAAATAAAGATATCTAACTATTAAATAAAACTAACTGCTCATATTTATATATAGATAAATACTTTGTCTGGTTGAGTGTAGAAAAAGATTTCCCGTCGAATATTTCTCAATTTTTTTTTTTACAGACATCTAAATTAATCTGTTTCTTTAAAAACAGTTTAAAAATATATATACAAAATATATACAACATGGATTCTTTTACATCTATTTACAAACAAATGTTTTTATATGCCTTTGACATTATACTTTTTAACTGAAATTTTGAACCACAATTAAGATATATTTAATATAATTTTTCTTTTGATTCTATGAAGCATGACAATACTTTATCACATTTATTATTCAGTGATAACTCGAAAGTTTTTAAAAATAAAAAAGGGATGAACAAATATCACATATTTGATGTTATTAATTTTTTACGTCTTTAATCTGTTCGGTTTTAAATATGTATATATTTAACCAATATATATATATATATATATATGTATATATTTGGTTGAATATCAAAATCAAACAAGATGGCGATTGGAAAAGATGAACAACCAAAGTGCTCCAATTAGCAAACCAAGTGAAACTGCAAGGTTGATAGAAGAAGCAGCCGACAATCCTAAGGCCGATCTCGGGTAAATGGTTACCTTGGATGATGTATCAATTTTATCTCTGTAAACAAGAAAATGTGTCTCTTTACATTCTTGATTATTCTTTCATACATCAATATTAGTTTTTAAATATTTCATACACTTACCCGATATTGTACAGAGCGTTTTGCGATGGTGTGTGAACGTACAGGGTTCCAGGCAACTTGTCGAACTTTGACTTCAAATCAACTGATTCCTCGATGTCATTTAAATTTATGATAACATAGTATTCGTGGTTTCCAGTTTTCCTGAATAAAAAAAGATTGAAGACATCAGTATAAATTATTATATACACATGAATTATAGATAAATTTATAAGCTATAGACAGGGTGAATTATAGCTTATATATACACATGAATTATATATAAATGTATAAGCTATACACAGGGTGAATCAGGTTTAAGTGACCAAACAGCAAAAATAAACTAAGGACCTCAAAACAAGAAAAAAATTTCCTCTGAAGGTATATTCGCAAACGCTTTGTTTAGGAGATATTCACACCTAAAAAATTTCATTGTTATGAATTGTTTAAGTTATATGAAATATTGTGGCTTGGCCTGCGCGCTCTCCAGACCTTACGCCACTGATTTTTTTTTGTTTGGGGTGACATTAAACAACAAGTCTATGCAAGTCTGGTCTTAATTCCTTACCAAGAAGGATAATTGAATCTTGTGAAACAATAACACATATCCAGTGCCGTTCTACCTCTGCTGCTGTTGAAGAAAGATGCCGAGCCTGTCTTAATGCTCAAGGAAATCACTTTGAACAACTTTTAATATAAATTTAATGTTTACGTTTAATTAATGAAGTAGTTGGAACAAATAAATAAGTTTTATGTACTTAATATAATGCAAATAATTCATAACAACAAAAATCTTTATGTGTGAATATCTCCTAAACCAAAGCGTTTGCGGACATACCTTCATAGGATTTTTTTTTCTTGTTTTAAGGTCCTTAATTCATATTTTCAGTTTGGCCACGTAACCCTGAAACACCCTGGAGATCGATCCGTCAAACTTACCCTTATAAACTACTGTCATTTTTAATCGTAAAACTATACTTATTCTAATAAGTAAATAAAATCAGTAAATGTATCTTTATATGTTGGTTTAGAAATTTATTCCTGCAATCTACTTAGATATATTAAATTATATTAATTTCATCATAAAGAATATTTATTATCCACAATCATTAAATCATATTTTTGATGAGGAGATACGTTTGATGGCTATAAATTAATATTTTATCAAATAAAAAACATTCGAATTATGATAAGTTTGGTAAAAATTAATTTTTTAATAATATTTTCTTTACCTTTTGAATGCAAAAACCCAGTCTCCGAAGGTTACTGTTTGTAGATCCTTGGACTGTATAAAATTACTTCTTGCTTGAACGAGCCTTTTGTATTTATTTAAATGGCTGTTATCAGATTTAGATTCAGTTTCGACGTTGATTTTGTAATAGTTGGGATTTACTGGCAGCCAAGTCGTCGATGCATTTGAAAAACCTAAACAGACAAAACATCAAATTACTTCAAAAATAGCATTTACATTCCATACAACTTATCATGTACGTTAAATATGGGATAAAAATATAGAGAATTAATATTCTAGGAACATACATATTTAATACGAATATCAGCTTAGAGAGCTCCAAAGCAAGCTTTGGATCCTGATATGGAATAAAACTAGACTATTCTAAACGGGAAAATTGAGATTCATTCAGTGGGTCTACCACGAAGTATATTTTAAACCATCCAGGCTGGATTCGAACCGGAGCCGCTAGAATGGAGAATGCCAAGGCGGGTAATAATATTATAACACACTCGATAATAGGGCCTCTGGCGTGCCACAATTGTACTCTACTTCCCAGTGTACCCTACCATCATCACAATAATTATTACAATATAGTATTGGTAAGTGTTCTTAAGGACATGTCCCATATTATAAATTTTGAGAATACCTACGTAATTAAATAGTTAATAACTATTGTTTATGCGATGAACGTATGTACTAGGGTATTCATATTTTTCTTATGTAAAAACATACCGAAACCCAAACACCCTTTCATTTTAAAAAGAAAACTTGAAATTTAAAATATATGAATAACAATTTAAATACCATAGACAAGTTAAGCACCGAATCCGAACACCTAGCTTATCACTTCAGCCCCCCTAAGGCTAATATAATATAATATTAGTAAAATTAATCTACGAATATATATATATATAAATTACCATATTTTTTTCAGATATTTAAAAATATATTTTTTATCTAAGCCGTAACATTTTTAATAAATATTTTGTAATTAAGTACTTTATATTCATTTTTTACATGCCTGAAAAAACGATGGATGTATATGAAAAACTTTTTTTTTGTAAGAAACATCTTTAAAATTGATATATTAATTTGTTTATGGATAATTTAAAAGTATAATTCAACTCAATCCAGTCGTATCACGTTATAAATAAATTAAATCTTACTTTTACAAGGGTGCTTATTTTTTTTCGGCCATATCAGAGTTTACAGGACTAAAAGAAAATCACCTGCGTTTTTCTTGGTGTTCCATTGCATAGGAGTCCTCTCAGGGTCCCTGCCAGTTGTGTCCACCAACCTGTCCTTCCTGACGAAGGTGTCCAGCATTCCGATTTCCTCGCCGTTGTAGGTAACCGAGGCCCCTGGCAACATCAGGATCATCATGTTGAAGGCGTCCACCATCTCCGTGCCCATCCTGCTCCCGATCCTCGAGTTGTCGTGGTTACCGATCTGCCGTTATATATCGTTATGTGATATCAATAATTAACAGTATTACATTAATTAATTAACTAATTAACTAGTTTACTTATTTATTAATTACAATAATTAGCAGTATACCATATTCAAGAACCTACCACCCAGTTTGGCCAAGTATCATTATTCAGAGTTGCCATGTAAGTATCAATTATGTTTTTGAGTTCAGTTGCATTCGATTCCTTTCTGAACTTTTGGATCAATTCGAAATTGAACGGAGAAGAGTGTGGCTGATTATATTTGACTGTCTGTTCTAAAGATGCGTAGGCTTCGAGAAATAAATACCTAGAGATATAAAATCGGATTAAGAAAATGAAAAAACAATAGAATACAAGATATTGAATGAAACTTTCTGATATTAAATCCAAACAAATTAGTATTAAGTTCATTGTTACAGTTTAAAGTGTTCTTGACATTAAAATATTGCACAAGTCGAGCTCTATTGAAAAATTGATTTCATCTGGATGAGAATAATTTTTTCTGAACATTAAATATATTAAAAAATACATATTAATGAATTATAAAGATCAAATAAATTAAGTAGAATACAAAAAATAATTAATTTATTTGATGGTTAGTAATATATAAATATTAGTAAATGAATATGAAAGTTCAATTATTCGATTTCAGTGGTCTCCAGAAGGTGATGGCATCAAAATTATTGAGGAGGCCATATTTTTTCAAGGGTAGTGAAGTTTAATAGGAAATCATATTTTTGTGAAATTTCAATTCGGAAGAACTTTCAGATCAGGTAACAAGTGGAAAAACGTTGGACAGGCCATAGCAAGTGTAATTGTGCATGAACTAAATTTTTTATTTCTTGCACCGCTTTTTAAGAAATGGAGAGCAATGAAATTTCTTGAGAGGGGCATGATTAATGATCAAATCTACAATGATAACGTGATGACAAGTTCTATGAAGCATATATTTTTTTGTTTCGTTTTACAAAACAAACTTTCCAAAATTCAAGATAGCAATAAAGAAAAAAATAAACAATATATATACTTTCAGAAGAATGCTTTATTTCAACATAAACATTATTACTCATTAAATCAGATTTAATATTAACCTAAAAAAAAGAAAGAAAAAAGCGGCATGTCAAAAATTCATAGAGTTGAAAACTGCTAGCTTCTGAAAAATAATATTTTGTAACGTGGTTACCAAAACTTCTACAACTCATCATATCCAAATTAATACATGAATTACTGATTAAGAGATTTCTCGGCATTAAACTAATTGGGCTGTCTGTTAATACTTTTCTTGATGATTTTATTTATAACTTTCAAAAAAATCAATAAATCCCTGATAATTGGTGGTATTGAAAAACAAGTTACGCCCATCAGTTGGCCTTATAAGAACATAATATCTCAACCAGCCATTTTTGTTTCACATTGCTATAACTTTGCATAGTTACTCGGTAATTAAATAAATGTTATTAAAGAGTTGAATGGAAGGAGATGAACTTACTTCGGGTTAGTGCCGTCATATTGTTTAAGAAAATCATCGAATTCCCTCATCACTTCGTAAGTTTCAGGCCGATTCTCAGTGTAAATGTGATTCACGCAATTGGCTACTATCTTTTGATGGCAATCCGGGTATATTTCTTCATCTCTTAACTCTGCATCTTCGACCAAGAAGGGGATGGCATCGACCCGGAATCCATCAAGTCCTTTGTCAAACCAATATTTCATAATTTGCTAAAACGGGGAAAAAACATGGTTTTAATTAAGGCATAGGTTCAGCATACAGGATAGCTAGTGATTAAATAATGTATTAATAATAATATTAATTTTAGAATTAATTATAATTCAGCTTAGCTATGTTGATCAATATTGGTTGGGATTGAATATTTTATGTCAAATAGATTAATCTAAAGGGTTATATATAAATATTATTGAAGTATGTTCGTTACTGTTAATGAGTAATAGATAATTAGAACTCAATTTGGGTTGAAAATTAGGTAATAAAGAACTCTTCAAACATTGACAGATTTCTAATTATCTGTCACCTGTGATAATATATTACGTAATATATATATATATATATATATATATATATATATATATATATATATATATATATATATATATATATATATAATGATATATAGAATATTTGCAGATAAACTCAGTCAGAAATAATTAATTTATTTAAAATAATTAGATAGCGTCGCCTCTGTCACTGAAGTACCCTCTCTGATATTAATGTAAGAAGAAAATAGGTCACACTATCTCAACGAGTATAGATTTACTCTTGAGGTTATATAAAATACGAATCCTAAGGTTAATTTATTGAGGGCGGTCCCTCCACGCCCAGTGATATAATAAAAGGCCTCTGGCCACAGATGCAAAGAACGCATACAGCGTGCAGAGCCCTCTTACCTTAAAATGCCCTTGGGCAATAAAAGGAAATTGAAAAATTTATGTATATATAACATTTATATATATATTGTATTTGTAATCAAGAAATTCCTGGGGAGGAAAAAAAAAAAAAAAAAAGGTTAATTTATATCAAAGTAGTATTCATTTCTGAAAAATACCAACGAGAAACCGAAACGTCGTACAGCGATCTAAATTCTCTAAAAATCCTAATTTATAATTCAGAAAATCCTTCTATTTGGTATTGTGGTATTTTGATTCCAACTAAACTACTGAGGAAAACTAGCCTCACGGATTACGATTTCAATGAGGTGGTGAGTGAAGAAAATTATCTATACAACAGATCTTTTGTATATGGGTGTTCCTATCCACCTTAACTTAGAAAGAAGATGATCTGGATGACCCCCGGACAGAGAAAGGGAAAAACAAGGTAGAAGTTGCCAAGAAGCGGTGACATGATTTTGTAGACAAGATGCAAGGTTAAATATTACTTTCCTGCCGCTACTTGATAAGGGAAGTATAGCGATCGAACTTAAACAAATCTTTTCGTTTAGAATACCCTGAGGAAACAGATTTCAGCCATTGGCCTGCTTCTGTGTCTATTTGCTTTTGAAAGGTTATTAAATTTCCGATAGAACTCCTAATCTGGAGGCCAATGTTGAGACATAGGGGTCGCTCACTTTCCTATGAATCTCTGGGTGGGGACAAAACTAAACTAAAAATCGTTTAAATCGAACCAGTTTTATTAAGGTTAAAGTGTACTAAACTTTTTTTTTTTTTTTTTTGTCTTTACATCTTCATCCGCACCTGTCATGGTAGTGACAATTAGCAGATTTGCTGTTTAAATTGAAAATGACATGATAGGCATGACGAAGAATGGAGCCCAGCAGCACCTCTTCCCTGGCCTGTTTACATCCTAAAATCAGGAAAGGAGATCTCTCATCCAGCTCCTTTTCAGTCGCCTCCTGATGAGCATTTCAGCCGTGGCCATGTTTTTGATAAGTCCATTGTGATGTCCGTGAAGTTTTAGATGAAATCGGGAGTAAAGAGTACGTATGTGCTGGCCAATGGTTCGTTGTCTTAGGTCGGTATGTAAAGTCTTATTGTTGACGTACCAGGGAGCTGCAGTTATTAGTCTCAAAATTTTAGATTGAAAGGATTGTAGTTTTTGTAAGTGAGTCTTTTTTGCTGAACCGTAAATCTGTGAGGCGTATGTCCAAATGGGTTTGAGCAGGTAAGTGTATGTATTTAGTTTTTGTCTAATTTTCAATTTTGATTTAGAAAACAGTGAGTACAGTATTTTCAGTCGCTTGTTCAAACTCTTTCTTTTCATTTTGACGTGTGGGCCTCAGGTCATCCTTCTGTTAAATATTAGTCCGAGGTAGCGTATACTGTCCGTCTGAGGAATTGGATTGTTGCTGATATAAACTGGTGGGCATGTTTCTCGTCGAAGCGTAAATGTTATGTGTTGTGATTTGTTATGATTTAATCTAATTTTCCAGAGTGAATACCAATTTTGTAAATTTAGTAAATGATTTTGTAAATTTAATGAGGCTAGTCTGGGGTCATGGTGTTTTGTTAAAATTGTTGTATCGTCAGCGTAAGTAGCAGTCAATGTTTCAGAGTTGGTAGGCATGTCATGAGTATAGACAATGTAGAGTAAAGGTGCCAATATTGATCCTTGAGGTACCCCTGCTGATACTGGTCGAATTGAGGAAATTTCTAAACCCTGTCGGACAGAGAAGAATCTGTCGAAAAGGAAAGATTGGAGAATGAGATAATATGTATTAGGCAGTATAGTTTTGAGTTTGAAGAGAAGTCCCTGGTGCCAGACTTTATCAAATGCCTGGGCAACATCCAGAAATACGCCGGTAGCATATTGTTTTTGCTCTAGCGCTCCAGCAATGTAGTCAGTAACTCTGTGTAATTGGTGTGTAGTTGAATGAAATGTACGAAAACCGAATTGATGGTCAGGTATTATTTGTTGGTCTGTCAGTATGTCAACCAGTCTTTTGTATATTAATTTTTCGAAAACTTTGGAGCATATCGGAAGGAGACTGATAGGTCGGTAGGATGAGGGATTGAAAATGTCTTTGTCCCTTTTGTGTATCATCTTGATATGTGAGTATTTCCATTGTAATGGGAAGTTAGTTGTCCTCAGAATACAGAGGTATATTGTCGTAAGGAACACTAGAGCTTTCCTAGGCATTTGCTGGAGACCCTCGGCAGTTATTAAGTCATAACCTGGAGCTTTTCTTTTTGGGAGATATCTGATTTGTTGTGCGACTTGTGAAGGAGTGAAAGGAAGAGGGGGAGGTGTCATCTGTAATGGTATGTCTAGAGTATCAAATACTAAGGTTTCAAGTTCTGTGTTCGTGAAGTCGGTAAATGGTGTAAATACTGATGAAAGATGGTCTGCAAATAGTTCAGATTTTTCTCTATCCGACAAAGCCCATGAACCGTCTTCGTTTCGCAGGGGTGCTGACACCTCTCGATGTTTTAACAAATTTTTGGTATGCTTCCACAAACTTCCATCGTCAGTTGATATGCTGCTCAAATAAGCATCATAATTCGTTCTGTTGAATTTTTGTATTAGTCGTTTAAGTTCGTTATTTAGTCTGTTAAATGTCCGTCTATCTGAGGGAAGTCTGTTAGTCTGCCATACCTTACGTGCTCTCCTCTTTGCCGTGATCAAGTCCCTTATATATTGAGGATATCTTGGCAAGTGTTCTGCTCTTGATGACCTTGGTAGCGATGAAGACCAAGCTGCTTTTTGGACACTTTTTGTAAATTTGTCCACTGCCTCTTCTAGTTCATCTGCTGTTTTAATGGAGCCAGGGATTGAAAGTTCTGAATCCAGAATTTCCCTGTAAGCATCCCAATCCATTTTACCATTAAGGAGCTTAGGTGTTCGTGGAAGATTGATGGGCTCATCAAGGATAACCAAATGTATAAGGGAATGGTCAGAGCAAAGATCAGAGCTCGTATTTATGGTGTAAGGTATGGTGCGCAGTCCTTTGGTTATAAAAAAGTCTAGTAGGTCTGGGGATTTACGTTGTGAAGTCGGCCAATATGTCGGTGTATCAGGTGATATAGTGTCTAATGAAAGCTCGTGGATAGCAGCCCTCAGATTTCTTCCTCTTGGTGTGCACAGCCGTGACCCCCAAAATTGGTGCTTTGCGTTAAAGTCACCGCCTACTATAAAGCAACGCCCAAGGCTTCGAAAATAGTTGCAAAACATCGAAGGTGTTAATACGTACCTCGGAGGACAATATACTGAAGCTATTGTTATTGTGTGATGTTTGGTGTGTAGTGTTAAGCCTGTGGTTTGAATGTCAGGTGTAGTAGGTAAGTATAAGGGATTATGTGATAATGATGTCTTTATTAGTATTGCTGTACCACCATGAGCTGTGTTGTCCGGATGGTCTGTTCTGTAGGTATTGTAACCAGAAATATGAAATTTAGTTCGTGGTGTAAAGTGTGTTTCTGTTATCATTGCGATGTCAATGCGTTTTTCGTGTAAATATAAGTCCAATTCTGTCCTATGCTGCGTTAGTCCGTTTGCATTCCACGGAAGGATGGACAGGGAGCCTACAGTTAGCTGATTAATGGCCATTAGGAAGACACATGCCTTGTGTTATCTGTGAGAGCTGTTGGAGGAGACTAAAAAGGGGCTGAATGAGAGTGTTCAGACCATTCAATAACTGAAATAGTTGTGGAGACATGCAGTTTTCAGCTGAAGGTATCTGGGTACTTTTTCCCCTGATGGTTGCTGAAGGTTGAATGTTTGGAGGTACTGATGATGGAGGCAGTTCCTGAGCTTGCTGTTGTGTTTGCTTCTGTATTGGCTTCTGCTGTTGCACTGGAGGTTGCTGTTGGGGCAGTTGATGAGGCTTCTGCTTCCGCTTCTGCTTTTGATATGGGCTTTGCGAAGGTTGTGGAAGATCCGGGAAATTACGAATATTTGCAGATGGAGGTGATTCCCTCTGGTGAGCATGATTCCTCTTGGTCCTCTGTGCCCTTAGATCTCTAAGAGTTTGACACCCCCGATAATTGGCCGGATATTCGCCTAGACAATTAGCGCATTTAGCTGGAGTTTCTCTAGTTTTGCTACAAGTGGAACTGTCATGTCCTAGTCCACATCTGACGCACCGTGGTGCATGGTTGCAATACGATCGTGTGTGACCGTATATCGTGTACAGACCGTATTGTTGGCATCTGATGCATTGCGGTATATATTTCTTCCTTCTAAGTTCTTCAATTGTAACCTTTGTATAAAATAATTTAGTAATTTCGAATATTTTCTCATTGAAAGTTTCCTTACTTACATCTACAAAAAACATAGGTAGTGGCCGTTTAAAACGTGAGATGGCGTTGGTAATACCTACGATTTTGTATCCGTATATTTCAAGATCTTTTTTAATCTCTTCAATAGGTGTATTGTGATGAAGGTCTTTAATCACCACGCGAGGATTTCTATCCTCAGGAAGCTGATAGGTATGAAATTCGGCTCCGCTGTTTCTCAAGCAGTTGACTATTTGCCTGTAATTGTTTGGGGTCTGGGGGTAAATAGTTACTCCCTTAGAAGTTGTTTTTAGCAAAAAAGAATCTGGTCCTGAATTGGATTGTAAATATGACACAAGAGCCGCGTAGTTTTCGACACCGGTGATGTAGATTGGGGGTGGATTCTTAGTATTATTAGATGGTGGATTAGCAGAAGAAGTTTGACATTGGTCATTAGTACTAGAAAGAACCTGGAAACTATTGCTAGTAGTTACCACTACTTCCTGTTTTTTCTGTTTCCTGGGGTCCCTGTTTTCAGTAATGTTTCGTTTTCTTCCTGTTACCAGTTCCCATGCTCCTCTTTCGTTGCCTGTCATGCCGGAGCATTGTCGTAACAATCCATACGAGCCGCAGCTTGGGCTGCCTCGGCCTCTTTCGTAACAGCGGCTGATTCCGCCTCACTCATAGGTACTTCGAATCTAAGCTTCAATGTTTTAGTTCGCCTAGTTATTTAGGTAAAAATAACTCTTAATCCCGCAGTTATTTCCAAAATTTTTATAAACGAAAACAACTAAACTTAATTAGCTGATTTTAATGGTGCCTGTTTATATTGCTTTAATCCATCAAAGAAACGGTACTCTTTTCATTTTTCTAACCTTTTTTTTAGGAAATTATTTAAATAAAGTTATATAAATTCTACTAAAATCGGTAGGAAAGTCGTGTGAATGAACACGCTAGATGCATGTACCCAAATGATGGCGAAACCTGTGCTACCGGATTGCAAGGAATTGCTTTTCACTTTGGCCTTATTCCTCTGCCCTCTCCCCTGGCCCGAAAAAAATTCATAATTTTTCCTTCCCCTCTTTCTTCTCTCGCCATGGCCACAATAAAATTCGCTCAATAAATATCATCATTGGGTAATACTAACTCGTGTGGTTGAATAAATTCAGAGCAATACAACCAAAAAATAAAAAGAAATATTTTTTACTAAAGCTTCTATTTTTACTAAAAACTAAAAATTCTCGACATTCACTACCAGACTTTGTCGATCGGGACGATTGTTCTGACACACATACGCGCGCATGTGAGCACGTACACACACGTATTTATAAATACTCGTAAGCAAACTACAATTATTCTCACCTGCATTTCGTACACAACTTCTTTGTTTCTGTAATTTAGATCAGGTTGATAGTCTCCAAATTGGTGGAGATAAAACTGCTTTCTAACATTATCGTAGGTCCATGCACTGCCTCCAAATATGCTCATCTAAAAAATATATATTATTTAGTGGCTAAATATATTAGTGCCAGTGGCTAAATATTTTAGTTCACAAAGAGTTTCCTTATTTTTATGTATATTTTCCTAAATTTATTTCTTTAATAATATTTTATCATTTTAAATCTGAAATAAATTAGCAATAGTTCTAATTTTGGAAAATTCATGTTGTTTTCATTATCAATGTTGTTCTTTGTCGTTTGATTTGTTTATTGATATTGATATTTATTGATATTGATCTGTTTTAGGATGACGAATTCTAATAAATATATTGTCATTTTCAGCAAGTTTTTAGCCAGAAAAGTGTCAGTCAAATGAAAGTAATGTTGCAGAGCATTCTATCTCGCCTATCGTCTATTAGAGTTTGCTAAGCTAGAAACCGTACCTGAAATTGTCTAAGTCTTGGTCAACAAAAAGTTTAATACTGACACACTTATTAATACAATCAATGACTGATAACTTTAGGCAGGTTAAATAAAAGGTAGGATTTGTACTTATTTACATTTAATTACATTGATTAAATAAGTATGGATGTGTTTTTATTTATTTATATTTTTTTTTTATTTAATGTTCATCTCTCATGTTTGATTTATTCTGTTATTCAAAACTTTCTTTTCTTTTGTTATAATCTTGTTTTTCTTTTATAGTATATATGGTATGTTTGTGTTTCATTCATCCTAAATACTCAATGCCCTTAATTGAGGCAAAATGTATTTTTTTTTTCTCAATAAAATATTATTAGTAGTAAAAAAAAATTAGATTGCAACAATTTAATAAAGGTGCTTAAACGAATGAAATACCATCTGTGAAATATATGGGTTTCTTTCATTTCTAACTATTTAAATATGACCTCTAATAATTCAAAATAGTTTTAATCTCTACTCTTGAGCTTATTTAATTCCAGATATCTGCCAAGTTGATGTCCAACAGAAACGTGTAACACTACAATTACTAAAAGATTTCCGGACAAGAACTTCACACTGAAGCACTATTTAAAATAACGATAATTTAAAAAGGTAAAGTCACCATCCAATGTCGATATACTCGTTGAAGATAAGGCACCCACTTTGCGCAGGCTAGATTTGTTCTTTGGTACCTGACCGATTGGTAAGTGTGCCAAAGTACTATCGGTGATGGTGACTGATTTTTGACTTATTGAGGATAAAAAACGGGTCTCGAAATAAGAGATCAGTATGGTCTATAACTGATTTCCGTTTGTGACAAAACATTTCGAAAGCACTTACGATTCCTACAGACATGCTTGGTACACTTTGCATATTGAATTACATTAATTGATACGGTTGGAATGTGACTTTGTTAACTTTGGTTTGTATATTTAAGTGTAATCTCATTGAAATGAGCCTATGCAAGGCTTACCCAATTGCTTGGCGGTAAGGGTGTAGCACCGTCCCAACCTTTGGGGTTTTTCCACACATAATAATCATCTTTGCCGTCCTGCCTGTACCTGGAGGCGTTGAACCAAGGGTGCTCGTCGCTGGTGTGGTTCGGCACCAGGTCCAAAAATAATTTCATTCCTGAAAAAACCATCGTATTATACTGTATAATGGTAAAAATAAAACATGTAATGATACACCTAATCAGTTATATGCTTATATTACCGTAATTGTGAAGCTCTTTTATGAGATTCTCCAGATCAGCAACGGTACCATAGATAGGATTTACTTTACGGTAGTCAGATATGTCGTAACCCATGTCTTTCCAAGGAGAATCGTATATAGGAGAGAGCCAGATGGTACCAATGCCAATGTCATGAAGATATGGAACATGGCTGATGATCCCTGAAAATAAGAATTCAATTTATTGTACTTATTAATAAGTAAAAAAAACTAAGATAATAATTAATCATATCTAACCAGTATAAGAATTTGCGCTCATTACTTGTCGTTATATAATTACATTAGATGATTAAACAGTAATCATATGAAAACAAGATTCTCTTGTGTAATGGATTAATTTTAATTAAGGATTAATTACTAAAAGGCCTTCTTGGCCTTTTTGCCAACCCCTTAGACAACCCGTTCTAACCAGAGTGGGAGTTCATTTATCGGGTCCGCCAAGAAATAAATAATAACTGACCTAGGTTGGAATCGAACTCACTACATTTAAACCGAGTATTCTGTGACGCTCTCCCAACTTCTTCAGCCATCACGGCGTCCAAAGTAGAATTTAGAATAAATGTGGTGTCTGCAACTCTGCAACTGCAATTTTACCTGGATCCATCGGGAGTCGCCTTCCAGTCGTCCCTGTCCCGAACTACACTGTTGAACCCAAGAGCATCGGCACTCACTCCATCTGATTCCACTTTGAGTAACTTCCTCGTATTTGAGGTATTTTCTATCCGCACATGGCCCACTCATTTTAATATTGCTATAGTTCAAAAGGGAAAAAATTTACAAGGAACTCCAAAGAAATTAATATGGCTGGTCAAGATGACACTGGCAGAGACATTCGGTAGAGTACAGTAGAGTAATGGGAGGCTCTCACGAAAAATTAAAATTGGAAGAGGTCTTAGACAAGAAGATCCACTATCTACAGTGCTTTTTAACCTGGTATTGGAAGCAGCCATAAGAAATATAAAAGCGAATGGCAGCGATGCAATTTGCAATCGCTTGACACAGCATTTAGCATATGCAGGCGATGTTCTCATAACAGCACGGACTGTACCAGCACTTTCAGGCGCTCTTGAAGGTTTCCTGAGGGAAGCTGGAGAACTCTAGCTCTAGAAATTAATGCAGACAGTATGCAAAGCGGTGGAGACGCTTCGCTGCTGACGGGGATTCATGAAAGAAGGGATTAGCAGGATCCATGGTCCTTCAAGGGTTGAGGAGCCCACCAATGAATGAATGAATTCATCAATGGTTTACCTCATCGCGACTTCTATTGTAAGTTCGTGATGATGCCTAATCCTCCACCCATTAGTCCCCTTCACTGGACCTTATATCTTTCATTGCTCTATTATGCCACAGAAAGTTAAACAAGTAGTCTTCTTTCGCTAGAATTCACCATGTCAAGTCAGAACTTGTCGTATGAGTAAATCGTACAAGAGAGACTATATTGTTGAACAAATGGCTTTCCATTTTTTGTAGGTTACATGATAATATCTATTTCAGAAAGCAGGTATTTGCATCACCTCCTGATTTAGGACGTTATCCATAGTTTCTAGTGATCACAAGTATAAATTCCTATACATTTAATAATTCAAGTATTTATTGAATTGTTTGCAACAAACTATCGAATTAAGGTGATACTAAACCTAAAAATTCGTTTATAATTTAATGATCAGTCGAATGAATTAAACATATGGAAAATAAACATTTTCTTTCCCTCTTAGACTGTTCCGCATTACCAACGTTTTTAGAGGAAGCTGCAGCACCATTTATTTTTAACAATAATGTATAACAATATTTTTAGTTCATTGACTTGATTACAAGGACCGTTAGCTTAAGATTTTCATAAGAATATGCATATAAAATGTAATCAAATCAGGAAATAATATTTGATTAAAAAATGTCTTGTAACTTTCAATTATTTTTTTTTTATCATTTTTAATAATGAATAATGAATTGGTTATTGAACTCTGACTTGTTACCAGACCAAATGATTCCTCTTCAATAAAATTACTCCAATCTTGGTGAAGCTAAGAGTGCTACTTATCTTACCACAAATAATTCTTGATAATGATCTTAATTGTTGTCCGCAACGACCTTAAGGCGCCGAATTGCCTCGCTACATCCATTGAATATTCTACAATATATTTTATAATACTGGTGTATAACCATCTTGTTTTATTGGTGCCACGGATGCTTAACCGATCCTTGGCACTTAATCTCGAAGTTCCATCTATATTTGTCCTATTCATTGCGCAGTATCCTAAGATCTTCCAAGATATTGTTTCTCCGTCTAACTTTTGGCTTACGTCTAGGACTTACATCTATGTGCGTTTTATTTACATATATTAAAAAGGCATCGATAAGAACACTTAATGGAAGTTTCATTGAAATCTGTACATCCATGTAGGCACTACAGTCTGTACCAACAAAGAATTTTCAGATTTTCAGACTTCCAATGTGTAACACTCGGGTAAAGTCGCCTGGAGTCGACTATTTAAAGTAATTGTGCATATAGATTAAAATATCTCAAAAACTAAAAATGGAACTTGCATATTGTTATAGCGAGGGAAATATTCATCATTTCATCCTCTTTATAATGAGCGATTCTTCGAAATTGTATCTTATTGCGACGCCGTGTTAGAGGGACGGAAGGAGAAAAATAGTGTCGAAAATCAAATGAAAATAATTATATGGAAGATCTGGATTAAAATATCTCAGAAACTAAAAATCGGACCTGCATACTGTAAGCGAGGGAAATGTTCAGCATTTCATTCTCTTTATAATGAGTTGTTCGCTATGGGAGCAATTACCTCGATCAAGCCAATGAAGCAGAAAGAGAAAAGAAGGAAATCTACGAGAAATGCATCCCTTTCCTGAAAGAGAAATTCCGCGATCCCTTCGAAGAGAGAGAGTTCACAGTGAGAGGCCTCTGGTTTGGGTCTCGCGGAATGATTCCTAAAAGAACAGGGAGCTTCTTCGAGGAACTAGGTGTTGATGTCGGGGAGCTTGCAGTGTTGGCCGAGGGTATTATTCTGGACTCACTTAGGATCATTCATCATCACATATATGGTAATTACTGGTTGATTATCATTATTTATTTATTCAACTTTAAATGATTTAAGTGACCATATCTTTTTGTCTATGTTCATAGGACTGTGTTACTTGATGTGTGTGCGTTCCAATTTTCTGGTTTTAAAACTTTGGCATTCATATACCATATTTTTTTTTTCGTATAAATTTCCAAAATTGTCTTGTATCGGTTTTACCGAAATATGTATACATTGTATAATTGTAATTGTGTGTATTAGTATATTATAGTATTGATATTGTTTATGCTGTGTAATATGAAAAAGAGTTTGTATATATATAAACATACGATTAAGTATAATTAAGCGCTATGTCCAAAAAAAAAGGATTGATGAGTATGCTGTGTATCGAGCAACCCTATATAGTAGGGCAGCACTGCTTTAAATAAATTATTTCTCTCTTATAATTTATATTTTGTATTATGAATATCGCCTTGTTTATGTTTTCAATTCTATGGTGTGGTCTAAAGCAAAGCACACTTTTTTTTTTTTAATCTAACTAAAAGGCTACTGTTTTAGAACAAAGCCTCCAAAACAAATCCAGCCCTAGCCCCAAATGATCTTGGGCCATTTGCGAATATTTGGTACATCCCACTTGGCCAGGCATTATTAAGCAGACTTGTTTTATTCATTAGTTTAAAAGTGGGTAATATATTGATTTTTATTTTAATTCCCAATAAAAAGGCGTTACGCAAACGTTAAACAATCAAATAATTATTCTCGAGGACGTGTCGCATATTAAATATTTATTCATATAATTTTTCAACACTAAAATGACTAAGCTACTCCATCTAATCGATGTTGGGTTACACAACGCTCACCTCCACTTCGGAAACGATTATTCTAGAGTGAAAAAATAATGGTAATTGTAAATTCAACTACATCACATTCTACATTCTACATTCTATTAAAAAAATTGAAAAAAAAAAATATTGAAGGCTAAGTGCCATTGAGCGATTTTACAAAGGACAATTCAAGCGACTAACTTGCAAATTCATTAGCTAAATCATGTTAATAACAGAAAAAAGTAAGGTTTTTATAAGTTGGAAGTTGCTTCTCAGTGGCCTGTGAGCTGTTTGCAATTAAACCAGCCGTGTATCATCATAATTACTAGTGAATTAGTTGCCAGTATCCTGATAGTTCCTAATTTCAGTGACTATAAACTGTTACTAGCTAGTTGGATTACTCACAAAATTAAATAAAAACGCAGGAAATTATTTTACAATGGTTTATTATTTCAAAACAATTATACATCTAAAGTAATATTCCCTTCCTAGTTACAAAGAAAAATAAATAAAAGGTGATTTCAATAATAGACTAAACTTTAATAGTAATATGCTAAAAAAAGTAGCATTACTTCAGTAACACATACAAAATATTAAAAGGATATAACCTTTGCAGTAGAAAATATTTAAAAAAACAGTTATTTTTTTGTTTTTTTAGGAAATTCCGTAAACTTTTAAAAAACCATACAATATCGACAAAAAAGTGTATACTTTTTGAGTTACTTGGAATTTAATTTTACCATCTCTCGTAACTTTTTTTCCAGCTTCTTTTCGTTGGAATATGTTAGTTAGATAAATTTAAATGACTTCGAGAAATGTCTTTACCGAAGCTTCATTGAAATCGGTACATTCGCTTAGGCGCTACAGTCTATAGCAACGCAGGTTTTTCGGTCGCCATTTCGAATGTAAAAGGCTGATTAAAATAATATCGATGAAGGAGTATCGTTCTCGGGTGAGCTCTGATTTTATATCCAAATTAGAAAAAAATCGATATAGTAGTTTCGGAGAAAATGTGCGGACGGCGGACGGCGGACGGACAAAAAAATTTGTATTCGTTTTTAGAATTCTACGTATCCTGAAAGGTGAAATTTCTAGTAAGTGCTAAAGTAGTCGCAAACGTCGAGCGGTTTCTTGTTGTTTCAGTCTGATATGAGGATCCCAAGCTAGACGTTTGTCCAAGTGGAATCCTAGGTATTTATTATATATTTGGATTTTTAAGGAGAAAATTTATGCAAGATTTTTACTTGTTGAAAACAAATCTTCGAAACTAAAATTACTAATGTAGACTACAATATACCATTGAAAAAGTAAAGATCTCAGACAATTTAATATTTAAATTATACGAAGAATAAAATGAAAAGTGACGTAAAACGCATAAATTTAACAGACTGTACGGATGAGTAAAATATGAGAAGAATAACTGTTTAAATGAATATCTTGTACCATCTATAATTTATTCTTTCTATTATACAGGTACGAGATTATCCATGCTTAAATGTGGAAATACTTATTTCTACTTAAAGTAAGACAGGAACTGGACATTGTGGGATGCGCGCAACCGCATTAGAGTCATTTCACTCAATTCTGCAACACTCTGTTACCAATATTATTTTACTCAAACATTTGGGACAATTTTCTAGTAAACAAATCTACGAGAACAATCGAAATAAATTAAATTAATGATTGATCAAGTTCATCGAATACGATGTCATAGTAATGGGTTTGTTAAAAGGAAGAGATTGATGAACTATATCTTATCTTGAATATATTGAGTGTTGAGCAATATTTCGAAAATTCCACGACAGCTGCACGACTAATTTTCCTCAATTAAATTTGCGATTGGAAAAAGGAAATTTGTTTTATTTTGTCTTCCTTACTATTATAAATTTTTCCAAAGAATGATGAAATTAGAATTATCTATTCCAAATATGAAATATTTTGACTCGGTGCATCAATGAGTAGATTTATGATTTTCCTTATAACATAAAGAAATTATTCATCAATCCATTTTTTCGCAGTAATGTCGATTGTTTGCAACTGATTGTTAGAATTGAACTTATTTAAATAAAAATAAAACTGCAATTATTTGTTGTTGTGTAATAAACTAATATTATTGTAATATAACATTATACTATTCTGCAATGATAAACTATCACTCAATAATTTCATATTAGATTTCCACATCCTTCCATTGAAAAAAAATAGTGCCACTTGATTTCACCTAATTTTTACAGTTTATTTATCGAATTCCTTAATCTTTATCTTGTCAAGTTAAGAAGGAAACCTATTAAAACTGTTTTCCGTTCATGTAATGAATCATGGGATTCGAATAACAAAACCTTAATAAAAGAACAATAGGTTTATTGGTCACCAAGGCAAACTGTTTTTCAATCTTGTTTTGAATAAACTGATTTATAATTATTTAAAATATTCTTTATTAAAAGCTTTTCATAGTACAAAGAGAATAGTTTTATTTCCCTTGAAATGTTTCTCTTTAAAAGAGAACAATTAATTACAACGAACCAATTCTTTTTATAAGATTCAACGTTCAGGATAAGTTTAATATAGCAGTTTATTAATAGGCCAGTTTAACAATCAAAATTTTTTTTATTTAAAAAATCTATTCAACTCTAAAAGTACTTACTAATTTATGATCAAGCTTAATTAATTTAATTTTCAAAAATATTAGAAGATTGATTGATGGTTTTCAATTGCCGATGAGACCTGAAGTTTGAAATCGTTGGTTACAACCAAAGAAAAACCAAGGTAACTAGCATAATTGTGTTGTACAAAACAATAATATGTACCTTACTTCAAAACGAAAATTCAGAAATTTAATTGGAGAAAAATTTAAAAAGGAAAATTTCATTTCATCTTGTTAATCTATCGTATTATTTACGTATATTATTTACCTATTAATCAATTTTGGAGAGTGGAATAGCTCATTGGTAGAGCACTGAGCTTCCAAAGTTAAAGGTCTCATGATCGAATCCGGGCTTATGGCAGATAAAATTTTTTTTTTTGTCAGCTATGGATCGTCCCTGGGGTCGGTCTCTTCTCGGACACAACTAGTCTCTATAAAGTGGGATATCGGTCAAATCATTTCCATGCACAACCGTTGACCAAAAAAACAGTACTTACCCTACATAGTACTGACAGCCAAGACTCTTCATGGGTTGTAGCGGTAACAGTTATTTTTTCTTTTTTTTTTTGGTAGAAATTTAATGCTCATACTCCGTACAAAATGAAGAAATATGCTGAACTTCATACTACCGCTAGAATATTTTATTTGAAAATAAAATTGCAAACTTATGAATAAACTTAAAATTAATCTTTTAGTTCTACTCTAATTTGACTATAAAAGGTTAAAATTAATATATCTATTAATTATATTATATTATCTATGTATATAATATATATATATATACAGTTAGTTGTTAACTGTTTAAATTGCTAATACTATTCATTTTTCTGATGCGCTAATTGAGATTTTTAAAAAATAATCATGTTTAACTTGAATCGAATAAGTATTCCTTTTAATTGGAATTGGAATGACGACAGGTGGGATGCTGAATGACTATTATTTTATTGTTTATTCTCAATGATATAGTTTATGTAAAAAAAAAAATTATAAACCTCATTAAAAATACAAAACTTAAAATTTATCTAATTATTATTACTTCAATTTAGTAAGATTTGTGATATGGATTTTTTTACTCAGTATTTTCATACAGCCTATCTGTACTTTAACTCATTAATGAAGTGTCTTAAGATCAGTACTTTCTTAGGATGTTTCTACATCACACTCAACAGCCAATCTTTTTATCTTAATCAATTAATTAAATGTGTCCATAATATAGAGGCTGTGTGTGCCCCATAATGGTCTTCCTGCACCAGGCCAAGGTGTAAAAAAATATTTTGTTGTGTCTAGTTTATTACTGGGTTACAAAAACTATTTATGGTCTAAAAATTGATACCAAATACTCTAAACTTTCGCCAGTGAAACAATTAGTAATGAAGAATGTATTTTTGAAAATAAATACTCTCGAAAAATATTACAATTGTATAGCCATCATTGTTTTTTATTATTATTTTTTGTATTACTAAGACAGTTTTGTTTGAAGATTATTTATATTTATGTTAAATTGGTCACCCGATGAATATGTCTAATTTTATTGGTGTTGAAAGGGTTCAACGAAAACAACCTGATGATTTTAAGAACTTGAAGGTTTTTATACAGGTAGTCTCATTAATATATCGTGGGTTTATTGCTAAAAGTCACCAAGTATCATTCCATAAAATTAAATCGCTACGTACTTACGCTATTTACCTCTATGTAAATAGAACATTGTGCGCTTCGTGTTAATATTTTATTTACTATACACTATACAGTATACATGATAAATAAAATGGTTTTGAAACAAAAATTTTCATGCAGTTACGGTGCTTTCGAATCGATAAATAAGGTCAAAACTCACTAAATCATATTTGAAAGTTAACCTACACCATAAATGTACTTTAGAGCTTTTTGTAATAAACCGTGAATACATAATCATAGAAGATAAATAGTTAGGACGCAGTCATTTTTTAAGGTTTTTATTGGTGCCGACGTTTCAACCCAAGCATGTGGGTCATCATCAGTGCGTGTTTCGATCACTGAAGGTGTTCAAGTACTCGGTGGGTTGTAACGTCGGCATCGATAAAAACCTTATAAATGACTGGATCCTGTCCATTTATTATTTATGATGTATGCAACAGTCGACAAACTTCATTCAATATTTCAGACAACATATAATAATTTTATGTATTGATACATTATTAATTATATTTCTAAACACAAATAAATTGCATTAGGTATTATTTGAGTTCACTGATCACTTTTTCAAATCAACCAATATATTCTCCAACCCAATTCCACATACATTAAATGTTATAATAACTGCCTCCACTAAAAGTTTCTGGTTTTCGACATCACAACTGAGATTGGAATAGTTTCGAGCCAGATTTCAACTTGGATTTGAAAAACAAAAATGAGTATTTACCTTTTATATCACCGTTTCCATCGCCGTCCGAGTCGCCAAAGGACCTCGGGTACACTTGGTACAGTATGTTTGACTTCCACCATGGCACATCGGCGTTGGCCAGGTGAAAGAGACAAATCAGTGCTGGCAGAATCATCGCAGGCCTCCGAACTGTTCCACAGTGGTCTCTTGTGTGATTTTATCTCTAGCCCCACTCCAACGGAACCGGAGTAGGGCGTCCCTCTTAACAACAGTAATGTAACTCACTTAAGTAGCGACATTCCAAAGGTAAAAAAAAAAAATTACGAATTCTTAATTTCGAGAAAACTTAGAAGCTTCCTTTGGTTTTAAAGAATTTTCCATGCAAAACTGCTTACCATAGAACTAGAAGAAGAAAAAGAAAGAGTTTTAAGTTGGATTATTGCGTGCTGTAACCCAATTGTGTTGTAAGCAACCCAATGTAATTGGGCAGCACCCTTTAATGATAATAAAGTGATTCTCTCTACCCTTCAAAACAATCAAAACCTCCCGGTAAGTAATAAATGATGACTAGAAAAAGTTACAACGCCGTCAAATTGGAGATACTCAGAGATTTAAAATTTATATCATTGAATGGAAAATTTAACATGAGACGAAAAAGAACTCTAGTTTCATTGTAAGTACTGTTGTCCAAATGCGAGACCGAGACGAGTCTAGGTCTTGCAAACTCAGTCTTGTTCATGGTCTTGATCTTATGCAACAGTCTTGCAGGTACTTATTAGCTTATTACTATATAAATATTACTGTAATTTTTAAGATAGAAGAAACCTTACTAAACCCGAATGAAAAATTAGAGGAATTAAATGCAAAAGTATGTTGGTAATATCAATTATTAACACATAGTAACGAAAATTGTCGAATATTAGTAATTATTTGGCCTTAATTTTTATTTAAAAAATCGATTTTTTTTTTTTTACCAGTCCTCGTCTTGGTCTTGCAACAGTTAGGCGGCTTTGGTCTTGGTCTTGCAAAGCGCAAGACCAAGACCGCTTTTGGACAACACTAATTGTAAGCGGATTTTTTCAAACCAATGAATCTTCGAAATAGCAAGAAGATCAGAAATGAAGTAATCAATACACCAGCAGATTACCTAGAACTTATAGCCTCCTTTTTTATTAAATTGTTAACATCAGCCTGAAACTTCGTTAATAGCTTGATCTCATCGTAACCTGCAACTATTTTATCAACGAAAACTCTTGGAATTGGGACTTTTTCAATCTAGAGATCGGAAAACTTCGTCTTTTTAATGAGGTACTAAAAACTCGTAAATAACCGTTTGCTTTCCATTTGGATCGTAACATAATTTGACCACAAATTCAATTAAAAAGATGACCTAAACAAATATTTGGCCGTTTGGTCTATAAAACCTCGTTATTTTGATATTTTGGGGGTGTAGGTTACGCCAAAAACTCACTACGGTTGATTAAAATGACTATAGGTCCGCGTGCAAAGTGCAAAGGTGTAAAGTGCAAGTGCAAGGGAGCCACTCAGCTGAATTTAGGACCAACAAAGGTCTAAGACAAGCAGATGCACTATCGTGTCAACTTTTTAATCTGATTTTGGAACAAATGATTCGCGAAGCAGGTATTCAACGAACTGGCACGACATTCCATAAGTCGACACAGATGATGATTGGCGTATGCCTATGATGTTCACATCATAGGAAGGTCCTTTAATGAAATGCAAAATGTATTCCTTAACCTGGTGAGAGCTGCTGAGAAGGTGGGATTAGTAATTAATCCAACAGTCTAAAACAAAATACATGCATGCAATGAAGACCGGGAGAACAAACTCGCTTTGTGGACATAGGATACTTCAATATTAAAAGAGTTAGCTCCTTTACCTACATGGGTACCATCTCCACGATTGATAACGACAACTCAATGGATGTCAATAAGAGAGTTGCTTAGTCAAATAAATGTTACCTCGGAATCTGCTGGAATTTATGAAGCAAACTTATATCCTGAAAATGAAAGTGATTCTTTACAAGACGCTCATCCAGCCTATTCTCACATACGGTTCAGAAGTCTGGGTCACTAAGAAAGCCGACGAAAAACGGCTGGAGACCTGTGGAAAACTGATTTTAAGTTGGATATATCAACCTACACGAGAGGGGGAAACCTGAAGATTTTAGCTCCAATGTGGAGCTGACAAATTTATTTCAGGACCAAGATGTTTTTCGGATGATTAAGTTGGGTAGGCTACGCTGAGTAGAACATGAGGCCTCAATGACTTATACAGAAATATCCAAGAAGAGTGGTGGAGGGAAAAGTACATCGTACAAGAAGAGTAGGACGCCCTAGGATGCGATGGCTGGATGGAGTAAGTGAGGACTTCAGAAATCTGTTAAATGCCCGGAACTGAAAGGCTGCCGCACTGGACAGGGAGGACTGGCGGAAACGGATCGAGAAGGCCCAGACCCATTGATGAACTGTACCATCGAGAAGAAGAAGAAGAAGGTCACGCCAAATGGCTCAATATTTATGAAGGCCATTTTTTTTCTCGATTTCGTGCTCAAATTATCTTATGATTCAGGTGGAAAGCAAATGGGTAATTACCATTTTTAGTACCTAATTAAATATGCAAAATTTGTCGATCTCCAGTTGAAAACGGCCGAATTCCGAGAATTTTCATAAATAATAAAGGGTTGTAGATGACGATGGGATGAAGTTATTTACGAAGTTTCATGCGGATTTTAATAATTTGATAAAAAGGGATCTGTACCACTAGCGGATCCAGCATTTAATTTTGGGGGGGGGCTTCAGATTTTTTTCATACATATAACGATAGTTAATTTGAAAAAAAAAAAGAAAGAAATGAACTACCTATATGAAATGGTGCGATTCTTGAAGTCCTATTAAATGTAATTACACGAACAATAATACTTTAAGAGATACTTTTTAATATTCTTTTTCTATAAAACATGATTATATTTTACCGTTTTGGGGGGCCTCAGCCCGAAAGCTCCCCCCACCGTAAATCCGCCTGTGGTCTGTAACACGGAGTATTATCAAGAATTCGTAAATCAAACAATGCCCATAGAAAGTTGAGTACATTGATAACGAACCTTTCGTGGAATACTCCAAAATGGAGCGCACGCCCTCCAAGTTATTAAAATGGATCTAAAAGATTATTTTGCAAAAATATATTCAAAAAGTTACGTAGTGGTTGGGATGAGTAATGACAAGTAAAAATAAATAAATTATATTTATTTTTATTTTTACCTACGTTTCAGCCTTCATCAGAGCTGCGTTCTTTCGAAGAGCTCCTCCGCAAGATCGATTCGTCATAAAATGAATAATCTGGTGCACATCACACAACTTGCAATTACTTAAATAATTTAAACTTCTGATCAAATAGAGCAAGTTATTATTTAATTACTTTAATCTCCAATTGGGGTTAAAGGTAACAATGTTTTTTCAATCCTTTAACACTGCTCGAAAGGATTTCTTCAGCGACACGGACTTCTTCAGGCGGCACTGTGGAATACCACTGAGGCTACACCGAATGACATGTTGCTTGATACTTGTTTCCTAGTGTTGCCTTTTGTAGGCGTCCGATAATGTGGCACAAATTAAAATGATGTCGCATGCGGAGTTTGTTGACCCACATCGCTTGCGCTTTGTCGTACACTTTTGCAGTATGCGACTAAAGCGATTCCATTCAGGCAACTTCAGTTTCGTACATCATGTCATTACAAACAGTCACGGCAGCTGCATATTTGGTAATCGCTTTGAACCATAAAAGGAAAAGAAAAACACCACGATATCAGAGAAGAGAGCTATAAATCGATGGTCAAGAAATTCGATATAATTTAATATTCCACGCTTGAAGAGTAGCTCAAAAAAAATCGATAATATTTGATTGAAGCATTAATTTAAACATTGATAAAAGCTATAAAAGTTTTTTTTTTTTAATATTTATATTTAAAAATGAGTCTGCCAGTTGGATATTGATACCTGTAAAAATGGCGGCTGATGTAAAGAATATTAGACCAGTAACCTGAGGATCGAAACGGAAAATACATTGCGTAAAATATGGGAAACGTTTTTATTTTTTTAACTTCTATATAAGGGTTCAGACGTCAATGCCGCATGCTACATTTTGCCTAAAAGTTGCTTCAGTGGAATACCGCCTTTCGCTTCTTCCTTTATAAAAGTAGTTTTCAAACAATTTTTGAACCATAATTCAATGAATTGAATATTGTTGGCTTGTAATGGTCAGTAATTATCGTAAACGTTTTTATTTAGTTTGGAACTTTCATTTATTTGCCGTTGAACGATATTAGCTTTTAAGCAATCGTCAGCCAAAAGTTTTTTCTTACTTATAAGTACATGTTAATTTTTCTAACATCTTCGAATTTTTAATGATTTATTAAACATACATTTTTTTATTTAATTTTTTATCAAATTTTTACACTGCTTATATAATTCAGTACTTCTAACCATAAGAGTACTGAATCCGATAATTATATTTTTAAAAAAAGATATTTTATGGAAAACGATTTATCTTTTTTCAATACTCCATTATAAGTTGTATCAATTTTCAATGCGGATAAAACTCACCAAATTTAAAATAAAAAAAAACGTTAAATTTTCACATTAGTATAATGACTATAATAAATATTTGTTGAGCTGTTTTCGTAAAATTATTATGTAATTATTATGTTGATCGATATTAGTGAAAAAGTCGCTGTAACATACCAAGCTGTAACATCACTATACTTTCTGTTATATAACCCAATTTCATGTGCAGGTAAGTGAAGATTGGAAGGAATAAACGAAAAACCATATAATTTTTATGGAAATTCTTCACCACACCTATAGAGTCTTCACTTTATTTAGTCATCAGTTTCTCCAAATTTCATCTTATTGCATATAATTAGAATTAATTGTTAAGAATATGTATATATAACTGTAAATACAAATTCATTTACAAAAAATTAATATGTGTATGTTTGTCCGCTCTAGACTTCCAAATCGTCTGACCGATTTCGCTCAAATTTTGTAGCTAATTTGATATAGATCGATAAAGAAATTTTTAAGTACAGTATTTTGGTTATAGTGGCTCTGTAGAGTAAAAAAAAACGCTTTCTAATTTATAATACAGCTTCGACAA